GTACTGAACTGTTACGTAATATCAGTCCTCCTATATGGCAGTGAATGCTGGACAGTCTCCTCACAGATGAAGAAGAGACATGAAACAAGAGAAACAAAGAAAAGAGTACTGAACTGTTACGTAATATCAGTCCTCCTATATGGCAGTGAATGCTGGACAATCTCCTCACAGATGAAGAAGAGACTTGAAACAAGAGAAACAAAGAAAAGAGTACTGAACTGTTACGTAATATCAGTCCTCCTATATGGCAGTGAATGCTGGACAATCTCCTCACAGATGAAGAAGAGACTTGAAACAACAGAAACAAAGAAAAGAGTACTGAACTGTTACGTAATATCAGTCCTCCTATATGGCAGTGAATGCTGGACAATCTCCTCACAGATGAAGAAGAGACTTGAAACAAGAGAAACAAAGAAAAGAGTACTGAACTGTTACGTAATATCAGTCTTCCTATATGGCTGTGGATGCTGGACAATATCCTCACAGATGAAGAAGAGATTTGAGGCAACAGAAACAAAGAAATGAATACTGAACTGTTACATAATATTGGTCCTTCTATATGGCAGTGGATGCTGGACAATCTTCTCACAGATGAAGAAGAGATTTGAAACAACAAAAAACAAAGAAAAGAATACTAAACTTTATGTAATATCAGTCCTCCTATATGGCCGTCGATGCTGGACAATCTCCTCACAGATGAGGAAGAGACTTGAAACAACAGAAACAAAGAAAAGAGTACTGAACTGTTACGTAATATCAGTCCTCCTATATGGCAGTGAATGCTGGACAATCTCCTCACAGATGAAGAAGAGACTTGAAACAACAGAAACAAAGAAAAGAGTACTGAACTGTTACGTAATATCAGTCCTCCTATATGGCAGTGAATGCTGGACAATCTCCTCACAGATGAAGAAGAGACTTGAAACAACAGAAACAAAGAAAAGAGTACTGAACTGTTACGTAATATCAGTCCTCCTATATGGCAGTGAATGCTGGACAATCTCCTCACAGATGAAGAAGAGACTTGAAAACAAAACAAACAAAAGAAAAACTGTTAGTATATCAACTCCTATATGGCAGTGAATACAATCAGATGAAGAAGAGACTTGAAACAACAGAAACAAAGAAAAGAGTACTGAACTGTTACGACAATCAGTCCTCCTATATGGCAGTGAATGCTGGACAATCTCCTCACAGATGAAGAAGAGACTTGAAACAACAGAAACAAAGAAAAGAGTACTGAACTGTTACGTAATATCAGTCCTCCTATATGGCAGTGAATGCTGGACAATCTCCTCACAGATGAAGAAGAGACTTGAAACAACAGAAACAAAGAAAAGAGTACTGAACTGTTACGTAATATCAGTCCTCCTATATGGCAGTGAATGCTGGACAATCTCCTCACAGATGAAGAAGAGACTTGAAACAACAGAAACAAAGAAAAGAGTACTGAACTGTTACGTAATATCAGTCCTCCTATATGGCAGTGAATGCTGGACAATCTCCTCACAGATGAAGAAGAGACTTGAAACAACAGAAACAAAGAAAAGAGTACTGAACTGTTACGTAATATCAGTCCTCCTATATGGCAGTGAATGCTGGACAATCTCCTCACAGATGAAGAAGAGACTTGAAACAACAGAAACAAAGAAAAGAGTACTGAACTGTTACGTAATATCAGTCCTCCTATATGGCAGTGAATGCTGGACAATCTCCTCACAGATGAAGAAGAGACTTGAAACAACAGAAACAAAAAGAAAAGAGTACTGAACTGTTACGTAATATCAGTCCTCCTATATGGCAGTGAATGCTGGACAATCTCCTCACAGATGAAGAAGAGACTTGAAACAACAGAAACAAAGAAAAGAGTACTGAACTGTTACGTAATATCAGTCCTCCTATATGGCAGTGAATGCTGGACAATCTCCTCACAGATGAAGAAGAGACTTGAAACAACAGAAACAAAAGAAAAGAGTACTGAACTGTTACGTAATATCAGTCCTCCTATATGGCAGTGAATGCTGGACAATCTCCTCACAGATGAAGAAGAGACTTGAAACAAAAGAAACAAAGAAAAGAGTGTTACGTAATATCAGTCCTCCTATATGGCAGTGAATGCTGGACAATTCCTCACAGATGAAGAAGAGACTTGAAACAACAGAAACAAAGAAAAGAGTACTGAACTGTTACGTAATATCAGTCCTCCTATATGGCAGTGAATGCTGGACAATCTCCTCACAGATGAAGAAGAGACTTGAAACAACAGAAACAAAGAAAAGAGTACTGAACTGTTACGTAATATCAGTCCTCCTATATGGCAGTGAATGCTGGACAATCTCCTCACAGATGAAGAAGAGACTTGAAACAACAGAAACAAAGAAAAGAGTACTGAACTGTTACGTAATATCAGTCCTCCTATATGGCAGTGAATGCTGGACAATCTCCTCACAGATGAAGAAGAGACTTGAAACAACAGAAACAAAGAAAAGAGTACTGAACTGTTACGTAATATCAGTCCTCCTATATGGCAGTGAATGCTGGACAATCTCCTCACAGATGAAGAAGAGACTTGAAACAACAGAAACAAAGAAAAGAGTACTGAACTGTTACGTAATATCAGTCCTCCTATATGGCAGTGAATGCTGGACAATCTCCTCACAGATGAAGAAGAGACTTGAAACAAGAGAAACAAAGAAAAGAGTACTGAACTGTTACGTAATATCAGTCCTCCTATATGGCAGTGAATACTGGACAATCTCCTCACAGATGAGGAAGAGACTTGAAACAACAGAAACAAAGAAAAGAGTACTGAACTGTTACGTAATATCAGTCCTCCTATATGGCAATGAATGCTGGACAATCTCCTCACAGATGAAGAAGAGACTTGAAACAACAGAAACAAAGGAAAGATTACTGAACTGTTACGTAATATCAGTCCTCCTATATGGCAGTGAATGCTGGACAATCTCCTCACAGATGAAGAAGACACTTGAAACAATAGAAACAAAGAAAAAAGTACTGAACTGTTACGTAATATCAGTCCTCCTATATGGCAATGAATGCTGGACAATCTCCTCACAGATGAAGAAGAGACTTGAAACAACAGAAACAAAGAAAAGAGTACTGAACTGTTACGTAATATCAGTCCTCCTATATGGCAGTGAATGCTGGACAATCTCCTCACAGATGAAGAAGAGACTTGAAACAATAGAAACAAAGAAAAGAGTACTGAACTGTTACGTAATGTCAGTCCTCCTATATGGCAGTGAATGCTGGACAATCTCATCACAGATGAAGAAGGGACTTGAAACAATAGAAACAAAGGAAAGAGTACTGAACTGTTACGTAATATCAGTCCTCCTATATGGCAGTGAATGCTGGACAATCTCCTCACAGATGAAGAAGAGACTTGAAACAACAGAAACAAAGAAAAGAGTACTGAACTGTTACGTAATATCAGTCCTCCTATATGGCAGTGAATGCTGGACAATCTCCTCACAGATGAAGAAGAGACTTGAAACAATAGAAACAAAGAAAAGAGTACTGAACTGTTACGTAATATCAGTCCTCCTTTATGGCAGTGAATGCTGGACAATCTCCCCACAGATGAAGAAGGACTTGAAACAAGAGAAACAAAGAAAAGATACTGAACTGTTACGTAATATCAGTCCTCCTATATGGCAGTGAATGCTGGACAATCTCCTCACAGATGAAGAAGAGACTTGAAACAAGAGAAACAAAGAAAAGAGTACTGAACTGTTACGTAATATCAGTCCTCCTATATGTCAGTGAATGCTGGACAATCTCCTCACAGATGAAGAAGAGACTTGAAACAAGAGAAACAAAGAAAAGAGTACTGAACTGTTATGTAATATCAGTCCTCCTTTATGGCAGTGAATGCTGGTCAATCTCCTCACAGATTAAGAAGAGACTTGAAGCAACAGAAACAAAGAAAACATAATTCAAATGTAAAATCTCATCTACATGTAAAATAGACTAAAAACAACGGAAGCATTATTAATTAAAATAATAAAATGTGAGTACTTAATAACACGGCAACAATATGCTGAAGATGTTTGGAAAATAAAAATTTCCTATAACTATTGGTACATAAAATTTCCAGATACTCTGTTAAATGTTAAAATGCATATCAGACTTGATAATGGCTAAAATTATAGCTGAAATCCAGAAACGAAGAAAATTACAATTTAAATAAAATTTAAATAAAAGTCTTACTCGCAATACTTTGTCAATCATTTTAATGAAAATTTTGCACACACACACACACACACACACACACACACACATATATATATATATATATATTGATGCATGTTTCATTAAATAATACAGAGAAGTTTTGTCTATTTATTTTAAGTAAGTTCCTTTCGTATTGTCTGATAAACTTAATAACATTATCATTGAAAGACGAAAGAAAATCACAATATTGATACATGTTTTAATCATATCTAAGCTTTCGGCTTACATAAGCTATTATCAAAGATGACAATTGCATTACTGTATATTAAACAATACATGGACAAGACAGTGATGATAGTCTGTTTTTCTTCTTTTTTTTACATGGAAGACTTCGGAGCAACGACAAACTCGTGCATACAAGACGCTGGAAGGGAAAATCGCTTGAATGAAAATATGCTGCCTTAAATATATATATATATATATATATATATATATATATATATGTGTGTGTGTGTGTGTGTGTGGGGGGATTAATATATATATTTAGGCAGCATATTTTCATTCAAGCATGTTTGGTTTTGTTAAATAATTTAACGTATTATTTTATTTATCTTAGTTTTCAATCTTTTCCGTCCACGAATTAATTTCTTTGCAGCTGTGGAAAATTGATTGAGAAAAGTACCAAAAAACGCAAGTACTTTCAATTTTATCAGACACTATCTTCAAGGGGTCAAATTGTCTGTGAATTTGTATATGTGTATCTGTAAATTTGAAGCATGTTATAAAAAAAAGGCAAAAACAAATTAATTTTGAATTTTGCATCCTCTTCCTCCTTCTTTTGCTTTATGCAGAAGGAGGAGGAGAAGAAAAAGAAAAAGAAGATGAAGAAGAAGAAGAAGGAGGAGGAGACGAAGAAGAAGAAGAAGGGGAGAAGAAGGAGAAAAAGAAGGAGTAGGAGGGGAGGAGGAGGAGACGACGATGAAGAAGAAACAAAAGGAGGAGGAGGAGGGGAGAAGGAGTGGAATAATAATAAGAAGAAGAAGGAGGAGGAGGAGGGGGAGAAGGAGAAGAAGAAAAGAAGTAGTAGAAACATTTGTGAAGCCCTGAATAGATCTTGTATGCAATGGAAGGCCGTTCATCAGAAATCTGCACTAACCTACAATCGTTTGTTTCAAAAGATGGGATTGCTGTCAATTTGCATGACCACATCACACTAAATATTCATCTAAAGTGTGATCTAATTCGCCAAACCTAAATCTCCTTGGGGCGTTGTTGAACGGGAGACTGACAAACATTCCTATAATACCCTGAACACCTCCATTAACCAAATAAAGATTAATTGGATGCGTTCAGATCAACGATTCAACCTATTGAATCCATCATGGCTGCTGAAGGCGGTTATGTGAAACAAACTTCGACAACAAACATTATCGCATCTACAAACAATGTTTCGTATCAATAAATTTAGTTATTTATATGATGTGGTTGTTATTCTTACGATTTTAAGAGTATCCTCGAATACCTGGCGCAAAGATTCTGTATATTTTAAAGTTAAAAGAAATTTAGACGGAAGTCGACATTTATTTATGATCATATGGCATTATTTTTTCTATAATATCTTCGAAAGTCTTATCTTATTTTTTGGTTTGTTTTGTTGTTAATGATTAAGTATTTCTTTCAGAACTAAAGCAATTATGAAGACGAGGAAGGTAATTATAACTCTTACATATGTATGTTTCTAAGGCAAAACATTTATTTCACTTAAGTAGTATACACAGACAAGCACAAGTTGTATATCGGCAAGCATAAATATGGCCGTATTGGGTATAACGATAAACTACATCCGTGCCCTGGGTAAGACGATAAACTACATCCGCGTCCTGGGTAAGACGATAAAATAAATCCGTGTCCTGGGTAAGACGATAAACAATATCCGCGTCCTATGTATGAAAAAAAAAACTACATCCCTGTCCTCAGTATGAAGATAAACTACATCCGCGTCCGGGGTAAGACGATAAACTACATTTGCGTCCTGGGTATGAAGATAAACTACATCCGCGTCCTGGGTATGACGATAAACTACATCCGCGTCCTGGGTATGAAGATAAACTACATCCGCGTCTTGGGTATGATGATAAACTACATTTGCGTCCTGGCTATGACAATAAACTACATCCGCGTTCTGCGTAAGACAATAAACTACATCCGCGTCCTGAGTAAGACGATAAACAACATCCGCCTCCTGGGCAAAAGGATAAACTGCATCCATGTCCTGGGTATGAAAATAAACTACATCGACGTCCTCGGTATGAAGATAAACTACATCTGCCTCCAGGGTATAGTGATAAACTAAGACCAACAGCATGGCCTTTGATCGGGATATTCTGGGGAGAGTGGAACCACCTGTAAATTGCTGAAGTTCCCAGGTCCACCGGGACGCGGTGTGGTAGCACGTGTTGGGGTCCCAGCTAAGAGCTAAGAGGAAATAGTTAATAAACAAACTGGGGTGAAAACATCATGAAAGTGTAAAAATATTTAATATCAGAAATACTTTGTAACAAAATTATATACATCAATGCATTTCTAAAAAACAAATTACCCGAAATAGAATTTTTGAGTGAAAAAAAGTTAAAAAATTATTTTGACCAAAATATTTGTTTTTAAATAACCCAAAAAAATGCCGTAAAAAAAATAAACCAAACCAATCTAAACCAAAGAATACATATTCTATTCATACGTCTATCCTAAAAATGTTGCATTAAATAACCCATTGAGGTTGATTGCCGTAAAACAAAATAAACCAAACCAATCTAAACCAAAGAAAATTCCTAAAATCCTAAAAATGTTGTCGTAAACCAATTTTGAACCAAAACAAAATAAACAATCTTCTATTCTATTCATACGAATCTATCCTAAAATTGTTGTTAAATAACCCATTGAGGTTGATATGCCGTAAAAACAAAATAAATAAACCAATCTAAACCAAAGAATACATATTCTATTCCTACGAATCTATCCTAAAAATGTTGATATGCCGATATGCCGTAAAACAAAATAAACCAAACCAATCTAAACCAAACCATAAATTCTATTCATACGAATCTATCCTAAAAGAGTTGTCGTCATTAAATAACTCATTGAGGTTGATATGTAAAACAAAATAAAAAAAAACAATCTAAACCAAAGAATACATATTCTATCCATACGAATCTAAAAATCCGGCATTAAATAACCCATCGAGGTTGAATGCCCGTGACAAAATAAACCAAACCATAAATGTGGTACAAAATGATAACTTCTGCTATATGGTTTGTCTTTTTTTCTTTTTACCTGAGAGTCAGCTGTTAAAATATAACAATTATGATTTCTTTTTCGTCGTGCAATGGTTTTTAGATTTTCTTTTGGAAATTAAAAGAAATGTGAATAAAATACATTGTTCCTGTAATAGATTCCCAAATATTTCAGGCGGTGATATTTTATAAATTGTAAAGAAGACGAAAATGTAATCAATAAAAGAACAAGCATAATTATTCATCGTTACTTTCCTTCACTCATATATATATATATATATATATATATATATATATACTAGCAGTAGAGCCCGGCGTTGCCCGGGGATGTAACAGTAAGAGATAGATCAAGTATCGACCATCATAAAGACTGAAAAATAAAATTGACAAAGATTATTGTTTAAGGTTGACGGACACGCATGTTTTAATTAGTTTTTTTTTTTTTTTACGAATTGGTCAAACCCAAACTCAAACAAAAACATTGTTTACAATCGTTATGAGTCTATCGATTGGTGAATAGAATTTTATTATAAGCAATTGTCTTGTAAATGGAATTTTAAAGCATTCTGTATGTAAATAAAGAAAAAAAAATGTGCAAGACAATAAGAAATACTACCTGCCGAAGCAAAAGTGGATGTTTGTTTTATCGGCTGAAAAATGTAAGAAATCCGATCCCATATATAAAACAACACACACACACACACACACACACACACACACACACAAAACAACCTGGGTTTTTTAACCTATGTCACTCCACGGAATCGCTAAAACATAGAGCATAGTCTGATGAAAAAAGACGCTAAAGTTTATGAAAACAAAATTTTATCGTCAAAATGTTTATGTTTTTTATGAAGAGGATAGACTAAATGTTTTTTAATTATTTTTAAAATTTTTCCATCTTTTTAGAATATTCTAAATTTTGATTTAAAAAAACCTTGTTTCTCTTTGTCGCAACAAGGGTAGTAAATAACAGATAATTTTTAGCGCGTTTTTTGTATTTACACACATTAATTTGGAAAATCTTGCAAAAATAAAAAATAATTGTCAGATGTTAATAAAACTTTCAGAAACTATTCACAGATGATCGAAATTATTATAAATATGTTTTTTTTTATATATCATGTCAGAAATATTTTTTTTTATATTTATTAACACCCCATAACTAATTTTATGAAAAACTCTAAAATTCGAGACCATCGGTTTTAGTGATTACAATAGTTAAAAGCACAAGGCCTTGAAGAATGCAAATCATGCTTTTTTTGTTTTTTTTTTTGTTTTTTTTTTTTGGCCAACGTACCTGAAAATCAGCTGTGAATTGTAACATACAAAACTCAATAAAACAAATATATTATTTAGTTTCAAATGCTTTTATTTGTTTTAATTTGTTTTTATGAATATGGACAATATTTTCTGAAAGCAAAAAATTTTTTCAATGAAAATTGAATTTTTAATACAATTATTTCTTATTTCTTTAATTTTAAAAACATTTTAAAAAAATGTTTAAATTGAATTTAAAAAAATATTTTAACATTAGTTAAAAGCAACATCAACCTTTCAAAATGTCCGTGTGAGATTGTCATTGTCTAGCACTTTGAAAACTATAATTTGGACCAATCAGATTAGTCATGGTAATTAAGAAATGTAATTTTTGTGTTTATAGTCGGACAGTAATTATCAAGTACGGAAGACCAACCAGAATACAATTTAGTTGCATTATTTGAGTTCAGCATTGTTCTCCGCTGTTAAGCCCTTTTACTTTTGCGAAACACGTATGGAGAAGTTAATTTGAGTTTTCAATTTCAACTGAGAAGGGTACCTACAAGTAACAGTATCATCTTATGAAATTTAACTACTGCTAAACTTTAATTTATATGATTTTATTTTTATATTAATCTCAGTTATGACATTTTTCCATAAATGAAATATCAAAATTAATAATAAAATGAATGGAAATACAAATAACACAGTAAAATGTAATAAATGTACATAAAATTATAGTATTTTATGTACACTTCTGACAAAATTTCATAAGAAAGGTACCTAAATTAATTAGATACCTTTTTCTTATGAAATTTAATCTCAGTATTAACAGTCTTACTCTTATTTTTTAATTTCTTTATATTTTCCATAAAGCATCGTAAACGTAAAAATGAAAGCTAAGTACAAAAAAATAAAAAATAAAAAATTAGAGCGCTGAAAGTTTTCCTTAAAAGTAACAAGGTAAATAATTTGTTCACTTAAATAATTTCACTTCCTTCCATCCGTAGAAAGAATTCTCCTCCCGTAAGTTATCTAAACGTCATGAATGTGCCTTTCGTCAATCGTCAAGCGACGCGAAAGGTTATGACCTGCTTTGTTTTATTTTCAAATTACATTTTTTCAGCGCAGGAGCTAAGTTAAGCTTTGTTCAAAATATTTTAAATAAACAGTATAATTTCTGTTTTTATTAAAATCAGTTTTTAAAAAATGATAATTGATTTTTAAAAGAATATCAAAGTCAGATTTTAATCTTTTTTATCTAATCGAAAAAAATGATTGAAAATGATTGATTATCTGCCCTTTTTTTTTACCAAAAAGAAAAACAATATTTTTAACGAAAATTTCAGACGTGCTAGGAGCGATTAAAAAATGTAAAAAAATACCCCCAAAATACTTTGATCTTTCCTCTTTAATAATAATATGAACATTAGACGATAAAATTTTGTTTTCGTCAAGTTCGGCTTTTTTTCATCATGCTATGCTCTTTTGTTTACATTTTCGTGGGTGAGTTGTCCCCCTTTCATTCTCACGATGTGTCTTA